TCATCCTTAAAATGAAGAAAACAGATGTAAAAGAATTGAACAAATTTAATTTATCGTATTTACACCATAATTCGGCTACCTAATACTTTTTTAATTCGATCTTTTAAATTCGCGAGAGATATATGAGAAAAGGGAATAACGTTCCACATTAAAAAAAAACAAGTTTAACTTGGCTATTTGAACCAGAGAGATTTGAATTGTAGCAATAATGACACAAGTAAATTTTAAAAAAATCAAAAATTAAATAAATCTACTTTTCAAAACGCAACAGAGAAATCAATTTTTTAACTCAGTACATCACACGTAAAATGCCTCATATATACAAATTTTTAAAAACTGATTAATTTTCCGCTACTTGTTAACAATTGACAATTACATATTTCATTAGAAATATAATTAAATAACTTTGTTCTGTAAATTTGGAAAAAAATAGTGGTAGAAAAATTAGAGTAGGGACTACCAAATACAATAATATATTTCTGAACCCAGCACTACTCCATACAAATGCAATACCCTGGCAGTTTGTTGAAGTATCGCCTGTCCAGAAGCAATGAAGTGTAAATGCGAAGTGTTACGGGAGAGTTATTTGATTTTTAATTAAATAATTTTCGTAAACTGTCATCTGCAAAAAAAAGTTCTTTCTTTTCAATAAAAGTCTTCATAAAATAATATGAAGTTATAATAATATTTAGGTAGTAAAGTATGTACAATATAAAATTAATATTTTATTTTTTACACTTTTTATTAAAACATCTTTTGTCATCTTGTTTTAAGATTAATATACAAACTTTGTTGAATAAATACAAATTTTATTATAAATATTTAAACTTAACTACGTAACAACAATAGCAATTAGCAAAAGCAATAAAGACATCCTATAATGAAAAAAATGTAGTACAATATGATCTACAATTTTTCTCTAAAAGTTTTTTTTAATTTTACATATTTTATACTCAATAAGCGAAAAAACCCATAAATTTTAGGACTGTTTTTATGATTTTCGCAAAAAAATCAAATTTCTAAGTTTTGTCACTAAGTTGTCCACTCCTTATTAGGCCCATAAGAGGAATATATTTTCAAAACAATATGATGGGAATATTTAGGAAAACTTGGGAATATGGAATATTTAAAATATACGGGAATTTTCAATAATACCCATTGGGCAGAAAACCATGTTTGTTCTAAAAACGTTTTATGAACGTTTCATCATGTCTGACAAATAATGTTCTAAAAGATTTTAAAAACATGGATGTTCAAATAATGTTCTAGAACATTTTTTGGCTTACAAGAACATTCTATTATTATAAATTAATAATTAATAATAAAATATTAAAATAATAATGTTGGATCATATCCTATAGATAGTAAACTAATTTTTAAATCGACAAACAAAATGGTAAAAAAATTTTTTGCACGAGTTTCCACTTTTAAGAATATTTTGCTATAATGAAAATATTGAATATATATTTGAATATCTTTACCTAGAATATATAAAGAATATCTTACAAGTTTACGAAAAATAACTTAATTGAGGACCCCTCGGAGACACCTAAATTAAAAAAAATTCATAGTATTATATAGTACGCTTTATAAGGAATAGAACTTTATTAAAGTGAGTAATTATATAAAGCATGATATGAAGAGTATTAAACACTGAATTTGTTCACTTACCAAGATTATTTTTTATACAAAAAAGAAATTATAAAAAAGTCAATACTTTTAACAACAAATGTGACATGAAATTGACATTTCATGATTGTTAAATAGAATATAATATAATTTTCAAATATCCATAAATATATAACTTAGTGTTTAGGTTTTTAACTACATGTATACGTATCTTACAAAAATATTAATAAGTGTATATCCTTATTTTATATCTTTAAAAATATTTTTTGTTCAATCGTGAAAGATAATTTCACGAAAAGTAATCATATATAAGGCATTCTTTGAAAAAAGCCACCCAAAAAAAAATTTTTTGTCAATGAAATATGTTAAAGTACACAAAAAAAGTATATAAGGTATGATTTTAGGTGGGTATAATGCGTTATTGCCATATTATAAGCGACTCGATTTTTTGAAGCATAATTTTCAAATTACATTAACTTTTATCCGGATCAATGTAGTTGAAATTTTTACCAACTTTTTTTGTAGAAAATTTTCAAAACATTCAAATAATATTATTAATTTTTTTCAAAACTGTAGTTTTCCACAAAAAATAGTAAAGAAATTTTTTTCTCAATTTTTTCACCCCTTCTAAATTTTTTTTAAAACTACCCTAAAATCTTTCTTATTTCATAAGTTTTTCACCCTCCAAAATTTTATTATTGGTCAGCAAAGTGCGTACAAGCTACAGTTGAATATGTAATGCAGAGCAAGTCACTGATTTGTGTCTAATGTTCACCTTTGATATTGAATTATGAATTAAAAATTAAAATTTTTTTTTTTGCTTTTTTTGGCAAAAGTACATTTTTGAAAAATCAATAATATTATTTGAAAGTTTAGAAAAACCTCTACAAAAATTTTTTTCTTAAATTTTTAAATGCACACAGAAAAAACCTATAGGTTGCACATCAAAATGAGCTGCCTACACAACTCATTCTGAGTTCAGTTTTTTTCTGTGCATTGATAAATGTTAATGCCATTTGAAAATTATGCTGCAAAAAAATTGAGCAGTTGATAACATGGCAACCACGCATTACACAGATCTAAAAACATACCCTATATATTTATTTACCTTCAACAGTTTATCACATTCTGATATTGATCTATTATTATTAAAAATAGCATTAATGAACATCATGCTAGATATCTCCCAATGGGAAATTGCCAATGGTTACGATTGGCTAAATAATGGGCCAAGAATGGTTTTTTCTTGTCTTACCCTACTGAAAATCCCTGTATAAAATCTTGTATAATTTCCTGTACCGGATCAGCAACTGAACTTGTACAAGTTCTGACCAGTTCCTGTACAGGACAATGCATACGAATTTGGTACAAGTTCATGTGTGAGATCTTGTACAAGAAAATGTACATGATCTTGTACAATTTCATCCATAAGTACTTGTACATGAACACGTTCATGTTCTTGCACATGTTTAGTTGTAAAAATTTTTTTTTTTAAATAAAATTTGAGATTTTGATAATTTTTAACCACTAAGATTTGTAACTCATGCATGCTAAAAACTATTGCGCAGCTGCCCTGGCGGATTGGGAAAACCGAGTTGTAACCGAATTGGGTTACGATTCGGTTACGTTTCGGTTCATTGTGAAATATTATCGTTAAACGACGAAATATGTTTTTTCAGCCGGGTGGCGTTAAGGATGACTTTGTGAATGAATTTCTAAAATTAAGCTCTTGAGTATCAAATGTGTAAGTGAATATATAAGTTTTAAAAAAATAGATCAATTTATTAAAACAACTTTTTTGATTTGTACAAATATAAAAAAAAATTTTTATAACGTACAAAAATTTTTTTAATGAGAAAAAGTTTTTTTTGTGTCAAAATTAATCTTTCTCATTTCATTGAGAAAAAAAAAAATTTTTTTGGGGAAAAAAGTTTTTTTATGTCAAAATTAATGTTTCTCATTTCATGAGAAAGATTAATTTTGACACAAAGAAAACTTTTTCTCATTAAAAAAATTTTTGTTCGTTATAAAAATTTTTTTTTATATTTGTACAAATCAAAAAAGTTGTTTTAATAAATTGATCTATTTTTTTAAAACTTATATATTCACTTACACATTTGATACTCAAGAGCTTAATTTTAGAAATTCATTCACAAAGTCATTCTTAACGCCATCTAGGGTTTAACGCGCGTATCACAGCTGCCGTTGATGGTAATATACATATATATGGTAATTCAACAACTGTATGCACTGTACACTTAAAACACTTATTATTAATTAATTATATCTTAATTTATTATTATTATTGCATTAATAAGCACTCTAAATGTATATTAACCATTCCTAATAGTTATTTACTACATATTTCGTCGATTAATGATAATATTTCACAATGAACCGAAACATAACCGAATCGTAACCCAATTCGGTTACTACTCGGTTTTCCCAATCCGCCAGGGTGTAAGGGTTAAAGTAAACTATTGCGCAGCCTTTGAAGTTTTTAATTTTTAGTAAAGAAAAAAAAAGAATTAACATGTGCAAGAACATGGACGTGTTTATGTACAAGTACTTATACATGAAATTGTACAAGATCATGTACATTTTCTTGTACAAGTATCTTTCTTGTACAAGGTCTTACACCAGATCTTGTACAAGATCTCACACATGAACTTGTTCCAAATTCGTCTGCATTTTCCTGTACAGGAACTGGTCAGAACTTGTACAAGTTCAGTTGCTGATCCTGTACAGGAAATTGTACAAGATCTTGTACAGGGATTTTCAGTAGGGTACTATTGGCACCCAATATTGGACCGCTAATGGTAAAATCTTGGGATGATCACGACGTTGCCAATCATTGGTAGCCAATATAGTTCCATCATCGGCTACCAAGAAAAAGAATGGATTCTTAAAAGCTTGGTTGGTAATAGGATACAAAGATTGGGCCAGTATTGGAAGCCAATGATTGGTTATCAACAATAGTCCAAGCTTAGTAACCAATTATTAACCAAGCATTTGAATATTCGTTATATGTCTTGGCAGCCAATGACAAAACAATATTGGATACCTACACAATGGACCATTATTGGTAAAGTCATGGGCTGTCCAGGCCGATGTCAATGATTGGCAATCATCATTGGCAAATTATTAGCAACCAATAACACAGCACACAAAAAAAAGTACCCGGGCCGGGGAATGAGACCACCATTTCTTGATGTATTTTGATGCGCTGAACACGAATCTGAAGTCCGTTTAGCTCCATCACGTCAGGATTTTGACATAACCTCAAAAAACATAGCTGATTTTAAATGACAGGAGAAATTTTTTAAATAATGGCAGATTTGCTTGAATCTTGTTACTCGGGGGTTTTTAGGATCGCTGATTACGAATTTAACGTCAAATTTATAAAATTCAAAATGGCGGATCCAATATGGCGGACGAATTTTTAAAAAGTAGTTGGATTTTTACAAAAATTGGTATCATGGGGTTTTTTTGGAGTCGCTGATTACGAATTTAACGTCAGATTATTTAAATATAAAATGGCAGATATAGTACGGTGGTTAAATATCTTTATGTTTCTACATGTGTCTACATCCAGGGCACCTCCACGCGGTGACGGTGGGCAAAGGAGTTTGCCCGCTATCCGTCTAAGTCCTTGGATAATGGCTTTGATGCCGTCATGGCAGACACACGTAGGAAACGTATTACGATGCAGGGACTCGGAACCCCAGTATCGGCCAAGTTACATAAAAATTCAACTATTTTTAATAAACTCGTCCGCCATATTGGATCCGCCATTTTGAATTTGAATAATCTGACGATAAATTTCTAATCAGCGACTCCCAAAACCCCTAGATACCAATTTTCGTAAAAATCCAACTACTTTTTAAAAATTCGTCGCCATATTGGATCCGCCATTTTGAATTTTATAAATCTGACGTTAAGTTCGTAATCAGCGACCCCAAAAACCCCCGAGTAACAAGATTCAAGCAAATCTGCCATTATTTAAAAAATTTCTCCTGTCATTTAAAATCAGCTATGTTTTTTGAGGTTATGTCAAAATCCTGACGTGATGGAGCTAAACGGACTTCAGATTCGTGTTCAGCGCATCAAAATACATCAAGAAATGTTGGTCTCATTCCCCGGCCCGGGTACTTTTTTTTTTGTTTGGCTGTGTAATTAGCCAATATTAAAAATTTTAATAATAATTCAGAAAATCAATTATTTAAAATAAATTTTTTTTATTTTTATTATTTGTAAATAGTTATTATTATTATTATTTTATTTTTAAAAATTAAATTGAAATAAAAGAATGGTCATCACAGTATTAGTGAAACCATTTCTTGCAAAAAAGAGTTTGTCTCAAATCCAATAAATAGGAGAGACATCGGGCAGAAAAAATTTCGACGAGGAAAAATTTTCGATCTTTGCTTATATACCAATGTAATGGGACATCAACTGGCAGAAACAGTTATGATGTTCGTCCTCCCTGTGGCGTTGAGCGAAACTAAAGTCCAGAGCTGAGCCAACAGCGCAGGGCGGGAACATTTGAAAAATTTGATTTTATTAGATATTTTATTTTAAATATGACAAATAATTATCTTAATAAATAATTATTTATAACATAATGTCATACTTAATAATTCGTTAATTAATTTTTTTAACGAAAATTTGACAAAAAAAAATATTACGATAAAGAAAATAATTTTTTTGTCAAATTTTCGTAGTAAAAAAATTTTTTTCAAGATAATTATTTGTGGCCCAAAAAAATATCACGATGAGAAATAATTTTTTTGTCAAATATTCTCTGTAAAAAAATTAATTAACTAAAAGACGTAATTATTAGTTACTTAATTTTTTTACTACGAAAATGTAACATAAAATTATTCGTAGCACAAAAATAATATCACTAATAATGTGATGACCATTTTTTTATTTTAATTTAATTATTGAAAATAAAATAATAATAATAATATTTATTAAAAAATAATAAAAATAATTTTTTTTTAAACTATTATTAAAATTTTTAATATTGGCTAATTTTTGGTTGCCAATAATTTGCCAATGATGGTTGCCAATCATTGGCATCGGCGTGGACAGTCCATGACTTTACCAATAATGGTCCATTATTAGGTGCCAATGGTTTTTTCATTGGCTCCCATCATTGGGCCAATTAATACGCCAATTGTTACTCGTGGCAGTTTCCCATTGGGTAATAATGGCCATATCATCCAAAAATTTAATAAAACGTGGTCCACTATTGTCAGCCAATAGTTCGACAAGAAAAAGATACAAAAATTTCATTCAATTCATTTCACATATGGAGATAATTAAAATATCTCCTGCCACCAAAACGGCAAAGTGTGAAAAAAATTTAATTCTGATTTTAACGACTGGCTCCCAATGTTGGGTCATTATTAAACCAATGGTTTATTTCCCATTGGGCTATTATATCTAATGTGTATGTATATTATATGACATATGTATTTATATATATTAGATAGGGAAAAATTCGTCAAAACAAAAAGGTAAAGTACCTTTTTGTTTTAACGAATTTCTATCTCAATTATTCATGAGTTTTTCTGTTGATGGCATTATAGTAGTGCATGTTTTAGTCGAACTTTGATAATGAACTTGAAAATTTCCCTTCCTTGTTTTTTCACCATTCCTCAAACGTCTTAGAAGCAATTGTTTAATTTTTTTCTTGCAAACAAAAATTATGAAGATCGTGAATCCCTGAAGTGAATTCATAATATCCGTGATGTAAAATATCCAACTCGGTTCATCATTTAAGAGCCATGATATTATTTCCATTGACCAGTTAATACCCATTACAATAAACAGTTTTAGATATAGGTTAAACCTGTAAAAACAAGAAAATAAATTACAGATTAAGATAAAAAATGATGCATTATTTTAATAAGAAAATCTTTGACAAGAAATACTGGCTAGTAAAAATTATTTTATATGGAGTAAATTTTAAAACATAATAACGTATATAATTTTTCCGGTACCATCATCCCAGTGTGCACATTTGCTTAAAAGACGTCCTGAGGATATCTTTTTGCGGACGTCTTTTAGATTTGTGACAAAAGACGTCTTTAATTTGTCTCCGATGGATCAAAAGCTTAAGGCGTAGAGTTTCAACCTAACGTATCGCGGGTTTGATCCCAGATCGGGGAGCATTTTTCATTCATGATTTCTGTATAAGCGTGTAGAAAAAAATAAAAAAAGTCAAAATTTAAATAAGATAATAATTAATGTGTTAAACTTAGAAAAATAAATTAGAAAATATTTTGGAGGAAATATATCTAAGTCTAAAAGACTTCTTTAGGACGTCTTTTAGACATCCTTTTTGAACGTCTTTTAGACGTCTTTTAGTCACGACATTGAACATGTTAAAGACGTCCTTTGGATGTCACAGGTGTCTGGAAAGAAAAAAAAGTTTGCCTACGATGCCAAGAAAAATCATTGTAACCTGGTGGTTCCTTAGAACCCCCTGATTTTTTTCAGAAGTTAAAAATTTGAATTTTTACTACAAAAAATATTGAGATGTCCTTGTTTATTATTTTCGAGATATTAATTATTTAACGTTAACAAAAGATGAAATATTTTATATACAAATAAAGTTATCGTAAATCTGACGTTACCAATTGAATGATACCGTAATTCAGCATTCAACGAGCCCTACTCTCTTAATTTGAATCAGTGAAATTTCACTGGTGAAATAGCTAGAAGTCGGTTACTGAATCATTTAGTGAAATTTTCACTGAAAATCAGTCATATATCACTGATTTCCAGTGAAAATTTCACTAAATGAATCAGTCAATCTGTATTATCGGTAATGGGTAAAACAGATTGACTGATTCATTTAGTAAAATTTTCACTGGAAATCAATGATATATGACTGATTTTCAGTGAAAATTTCACTAAATGATTCAGTAACCGACTTCTAGAAATTTCACCAGTGAAATTTCACTGATTCAAATTAAGAGAGTATATGAAGAATTTTGGATTAGTGGATTGTTAATAAATAATCGCATAACATTGCAATTGTATATGAAAATCCTTCTAATTCAAAATAGTTCATATTAGGCTCGTTGGATGCGAAATTACGTCAGCTTTCAGTTGGTAACTTCAGAATTACGATAACATTATTTGTTCATAAAATATTGCATTTTTTATTAACTTTAAATAATTCATTAAATCTCGAAAATAACAAAAAAAGGAAATCCCATTATTTTTTGTAGTGAAAATACACATTTTTAACTTTCCAAAAGATCAAAATTCACTGTTAATTAAATTATCCAAAATCGTCACCTATATAAAAGAAAACTTACGAATTCTAGTTGTTTTATTAAAAATTGTTTTAATCGCTTGTATCTAGAAAATGAGGTCCCTCAAATACATTCACATAAATAAAAATCATTAAATAAATTTAAAACTTATTTCTGACCCTAAAAAAAAAATTTTTTAGAAAAATTTCAAAATCACCCCTTTCTAGGGGTGAAACTTCTCTAAATGAACAGCTACTATTTTCGGGTTAAGTTTTCTAGTTTCAAGGGGTGCTAAGGAATCACCGGGTAACAATGATTTTTCTTGGCATCGTAGGTGAACATTTTTTTCCTTCCAGACACCTGTGATGTCTTTATGATGTCTTCGAGACATTATCCTCAAAGTCCCCAGGATGCCCGTGGACAAAAAAAGATGTCTTTAGGACGTCTTTTAGACGTCCCGGTGCCCACTGGGATTGTGCTACTCGGTACTATCAAAGATGTTAGGGTAAGTCCGGGGGAGTTGGCCATGCGGGAGAGATGGACAGTTCAAATATTTTATAGAATTTGCCGCTAGGTGTCGCTTATTAAAAATTAGTTCGCTTTGTTTTGTGGCAAAACACAATTAAAAGAAAAAAAACTTCACGAAAAATATAGAAAAAGTTAGTAAAAAACTGATTTGTTATTTTGACTAGTTCTGAAAAAAAGTAATGAGTTTACGTTTTTCACTGGTGTTATGTTATTTTCTAGAATAATTTTGAGTTTCATGTTTTTTGTAAAGTACATGACCAAAGCTTTGTCATAACTTCAAATCGAGCCGCTGAATTGCTTTGGCTCAAATTTTAATACAAGCTCAACAACTACATTTTGTTGTCGTTTATCCAAGGCTTTTTAAATAAAATTAAAATTATTAATTTAATCAACAATTTAAGACGATTTTTTTCTCATGAAAATAAAATTTTTTTAAGAAGCTGCCATTTTGTGAAAAAGTGATATTTTTAGGGTTCCGTACCCGAAGGGGAAACCCTATTAATAAGACTAGTGAAGCAAAGAATGTACCCCCCCCCCTAGCGGCCACACGAATTTATCCAGAGGGCTGAAATTTAGTATACATGCGTATTTTTGCGTGTAGATTACAGAAAAAATATAACGATCAAAATTGGAGTTGATGATCATATTGTTTTAAGAAAAACTCATATTTATAGAAAAAATCATGAATTTTTCGAATAAAAAAAGAAGAAAATTTTATCTTAAGGGATTCAAATTTATACATTTTTACGTGTAGATTCCAAAAAAATATTATGAACGATTGGACCCAGACAGCACCGTTTTTCGCAGGGAGTTCGCGGGGAGTTCCCCGTGTTAAGTTCGGAAACTAAGTTGGGGAGCTTCAGGGGAAGTTCAGGCGAGCTCTATATGTCCTCGGTTTTATAACTCGCGGTGCGAAGTTCAGGATAGTTATCCGATTAAGTTTGCCGAAAAATTGTGGATAAAAGTTTAGGAAATATTAAATTTTGAGTTTTACAGAAATTTGCTTTGTGAATTTCTTTAAAACTATCTCCGGAAAGTACTCTAAAGATATATAGACAAATTTCCTGTAAAATTAAAATGCAAGTTTTCAGTGAATTTTATAAGGTAAGTTTATTATAAATGTTTTATAATATTTATTAAATAAAAGTAAAATTAAAAAAATTTATTTTTCCCTTATTGCGCTTTCTTTTATTTTTCCCCAACATTAACGGCGCAATTTTCGGAAATAAATTTGGAGGAGCTGGGGATTGAACCCGGACGCGCAACACAACAGCCAAGAACCCTAACCACTAACCTAACCAACGACCTGAAGGTGGGTAACTTTCGGGTCTTTATAAGCTGCAAGCCTTGTCGTCATCAGTTGACACGAATGGCGGGAAAATTTAAAAATGTTTTCAACGAAATATTTTTAAATTCTATTATTAAATTAGTGTCATAATTAAAAGGGCATTGAAATAATATTGCAATGTTAATATTAATATTATTTGTGAAACTAGCAGCTATATAAAACGATTTAAGGTAATTCTTTAAAAATGAAATTTATTAAATACTGAATCTCGTTATAAAAAATTCTGGACTTGTCAAATTTTTATTAAATTATTATTCAATTAAAAGTAACATAATTAGAAAAACTTTTTGAACATTTATCAACGTATGTTTATGGCTTTTATCATTAATTAATTAATTAAATTTACCGAGATGTATGGTGGACATTTAAATCGTCAATTTGTAATTTGATAAATTAATTTAAAAATTAAAGTATCTGCATTTTATAATAAATATTTATAATTATTTGTCAATAATAATATAAATTATTTATAATAATTGTAAATAAATTTCTTGCATTCTTTAAATCAAAATTTTTTATACAACGCAATGTTTTTTCATATTTTTTATAATAAAGAAACTTATTATTAATTTTTATATCTATAAATTAATTAAAAATCGTAATTAGCTACGATTATTTCATTTATATTTTTAACTATTTAATATTATTTAAGTATTAATATTTAATATATTATTATTTAATAAATATTTACCTATTGAGCAATGTTGTGAATTGACCAGGGAAAAACAGGAAAAAGCTTTATTGCTGGATTTTAAGACGGTTACGTGAAAAACTTGTTTTTTTTCAAAATTCGATAAAGACATAATTTTTATTTAAGACTTTTAGAAAATTGTAAAAACAATTGTATTTCCAAAACGGTTCACAGTTATTTGAAAAAACAATTATCCCACAAAACTGGATTTTAATACTTTTTTTTAAATCTAATAAAAGTGACTGGATGAGTTAAATCCTTCTATAATTAAATTGATGTTGGTACAATAAAAAAATCCTTCCTTTTTTATTTAAATTTTGAATCAATTTTTGTAAATACTTAAATTTTTTTTAAATTACTATATATATAATATATATATAATATATATATAAATTTGACAAGTCCAGAATTTTTTATAACGAGATTCAGTATTTAATAAATTTCATTTTTAAAGAATTACCTTAAATCGTTTTATATAGCTGCTAGTTTCACAAATAATATTAATATTAACATTGCAATATTATTTCAATGCCCTTTTAATTATGACACTAATTTAATAATAGAATTTAAAAATATTTCGTTGAAAACATTTTTAAATTTTCCCGCCATTCGTGTCAACTGATGACGACAAGGCTTGCAGCTTATAAAGACCCGAAAGTTACCCACCTTCAGGTCGTTGGTTAGGTTAGTGGTTAGGGTTCTTGGCTGTTGTGTTGCGCGTCCGGGTTCAATCCCCAGCTCCTCCAAATTTATTTCCGAAAATTGCGCCGTTAATGTTGGGGAAAAATAAAAGAAAGCGCAATAAGGGAAAAATAAATTTTTTTAATTTTACTTTTATTTAATAAATATTATAAAACATTTATAATAAACTTACCTTATAAAATTCACTGAAAACTTGCATTTTAATTTTACAGGAAATTTGTCTATATATCTTTAGAGTACTTTCCGGAGATAGTTTTAAAGAAATTCACAAAGCAAATTTCTGTAAAACTCAAAATTTAATATTTCCTAAACTTTTATCCACAATTTTTCGGCAAACTTAATCGGATAACTATCCTGAACTTCGCACCGCGAGTTATAAAACCGAGGACATATAGAGCTCGCCTGAACTTCCCCTGAAGCTCCCCAACTTAGTTTCCGAACTTAACACGGGGAACTCCGCGCGAACTCCCTGCGAAAAACGGTGCTGTCTGGGGAGTTTATTATCAAAGCGTTTTCAAGGAAAAACTGATAATTTTCGATAAAAATTGACACTTTAACTCCCTAAAATTTTAGGTTTAAGGGTACGGTACTCTCGGTTTTAATGCGAGTGTAACTTGCACTTGTCCGATTTTTTAATTCCTTCGATCAACGACAATATTTCCTCATAAACTAACAGAATCTATTTCATTTTTTGAGTTCAGATGATTCTCTCAGAAGTTATGCTGGTCACCGCGAGATACATTTTTTTGAGGACCCTTGGAAGATCGCATGCAAAGGGTTCTGATCTCGGCTAAGTACCTGCAGTCGGTAACTTCTCGGTCGGTAATGCAGATTTCTACTTTATCAGCAGTAGGTAAGATAGGAATCTGACAAAAATTTCAACTCGACTGATAAGGTAGGAAACTGTTTTACCGACTGAACATTGAAGTTAGTTTACCGACCACCCAATAGATGTCGCTCACTTCAGTCTGTGTTTTTAACATTTTTAACCAAATTAGTTTACCCGCCATCCAATAGATGGCGCTCACTTTTATTATCAACTTTTTTTTAAAATTATTTTTTAATTAAAACTGTTTTACCGACCGACTTAGTTTACCCGATACCTAATAGGTGGCGCTCACCTTTATTATCAACTTTGTATTTTTAGATATTATTTTTTCTTAAGGGGGGAACACCAGTTGTAACTCAAAAAATAATGCTTTTTTCAAGAATATTTTCCAAAAGAACAATGAATCTTTTTAAAGAATACTATTTATTAGTTAAAAGTACATGTAAAAAGCTGTAATTTAAAAGAAAAAAAAAATTTTTTTAACAAAAACTTTTGGAGATATGAGCCATTGAAGTGGCGTCTTAAGAAAAAAGGCGAATTGCGGTGACCAGCATTCTGCAAGTATACTTCGTCTGAAATACAAAAATGAAATTGATTTACATTTATTATAAGATTATCTAGTTCGTGATCGAAGGATTTAAAAAAAAAAAAAAATTTGACAAAATGGCGACCTGTCAAAGTCAAAAGTATGATTTTCGTTAAAAAAATACGGTCGATTTTCAGCTATATAAAAAAAAGTTTTGCATAAAAAAAAAATCCTTCGATCACGAACTAGACTTATATGTGTAAATGAAGCACACTAAATTTTAAATAAATCGGTTTAATGGTATTCGAGTAATCGTGGTCACCGACTTGGAAAATGTCATTTTGAGAAAAACGCATTCAAAGTTTCAACTTACTTTTTTTTGTTCAGAAGAAATTTTGTTTCCAAGTTACAAAGAGTCATCGATTCTTGGACCATATAATAACTCTTCCGCAGTGGTTGCCGTTTCTAAATCATAGGAAAAGGCCATCTGTCGTTAGGGTCAGTTATGGCTGGCCACCTTGTATGAAGCCACGGGACGCGCCGATGCAGTGTTCTGTATATCTCATTTATTTTTCACCGGATCAACTTTGAAATTTACAGACACATTTCTAAATATGTGTACTTTAAGAAAATGCACAAAAAAAAATTGATTTTTCGAAAGTTACAACTGGTGTTCCCCCCTTAAAATAATTATTTTAAATTTATTTCCGCGCAACAGTGCTGCGCTCTTTACATCATGGTAAAATTCTCGCTTTGTCGATAGTTGGTAACTGGTCGACCGAGCGTGCGAGCTAGTTGTGTACGGTGCCGCGCGAGTAGGACTTCCACCCGGCGGCGGCGCGCGCCGCTCCGTGCCTGCGGTAGTGGTGGGATACTGCCTTTAAGAGTCGGACTGCTCTCGTGAATCCACATAATCTGTTCTAGATGAGCCACAAGAGTAGTAAGAGTCATCTATAAATGATTGCGTATTTAAAATATTTTACGAATTATATTTTTAAAATTTTGAAAAGAACATGTTGCGACCTAATTAAAAGTGTCGAGACTTGTTTTTGTGACGTCATATAATGAAAATATCTTAATGAGGTAGATAGGGTATACTGCGCATGAGCAATGATACTTAATCTCTTTTACCGACCAAACATTGAAGTTAGTTTGCCTACCACCCATTTTCTGTGTCCCCGACTTTGTTTTTATTATATATTTTTTCAAAATAATTTAAAACATTTTTATTGACCTAGTTTACCAACAAACCAATAGATGGCGTTCACATCAATCAGTATGATCATAATAGTTTTCTTAAATATTTATTTATTTAACCCTTTCATGGCCAGTGGGACACATACGTCCCACCTACTTCAAAAAATCATAACTTTCTTAAAACTTAATCGATTAACTTCACTAAGATCTCATTTTGAAGGGGAGGGATAGAGTAACAAATGTAAATACATGTATTTTTTTAAAAAACTACCCTCTTTGAAATACACCCCTTCAAAAAACCCGAAAAATGAGAAAAATGAAAAAACAGGTATAAATTTCAGAAGAAATTTTTTTTTCAGGCTTTTATAGTAACATATGTTTAAAAATATTGCAACCTTTGTAAAAAAAAATTAATATTAAAAATCCAACCCGAGGGTGCAGAAAAATAACTAAAACTACCCCTAAAAACCAAAACCTTTAAAAATTAATAAATTCGCTTGAAAATTGTTACTTGGGGGTTTTCGGGGTCGCTGATTACGAATCCGATGTCCGTCTTTAAGAATTCAAAATGGCGGATCCAATATGGCGACCGATAAATATAAAAATTCACTAGATTCATTTGAAACTTGTCACTTGGGGGGTTTTCGGGGTCGCTGATTACGAATCCGATATCAGATTTAGAAAATTGAAAATGGCGGATCCAATATGGCGGACGAAATGATTAACTTTCATTAGATTCATCTGAAACTTATTACTCAGGGGTTTTCGGGGTCGATAATTACGAATATGATGTCAGTTTTTAAAATTGCAAAATAATGCTGGTGTCATTATTGCCTATTAATTTTGTAGGTTTTAGTGCCTGTTGTTAGGAGTTTAGTATGAAAATGAAAATTACAGACCCAGGCTCAATCGGTGAGGTAGTGGGAGAACGCTACACAGAGAAAACGAAACGACGCGCTGATTGCCTTATAACAGCAGTTCCACATGGGAGCTTCTTTGCTACTGTCGTACCCCCCCTTTCATTTACCCAATGCACTCCCCTCTACGCCATCGTGGAGGGGAGTGCATTGAGTATGTACTCAATGCATTACTCAATATGATAATAATCAGTGAAAATTATTTTTTTGATTGTTGAAAACTGAATTCAGTATCTTATAACTTATGAATTAGGGGTGGATTTCAAGGGTAGGGGGTGAGTTTATTATTATTATCCATATCTGTGAAACATTGAAATACTTTTTTACAATTCAGAAGCACTTAGAATCCATATAATTTTTTTTATTTATTTACAAAAACATTTATCATTAAGGGGTGGTTATTTGACTTAAGGGTTGTTTTTCAGGGGTTGTTTATATTCAGTATTAATACTTAGTTATCATAGAAAATTTTTTTTTTCATATTTTCGAAAATCAGTGAAAATTATTTTTTTGATTGTTCCAAACTGAGAATAGTTATGAATTAGGGGTGGGCTTCAAGGGTAGGGGGTGAGTTTATTATTATTATTATCTATGTCTGTGTAACTTTCAAATAATTGTTTATAATTTAGAAGCAATTAGAATCTATAGATTTTTTTTAATCATTTATAAAAACTTTCACCGTCAAGGGATGATTATTTGACTTTAAGGGTGTTTTCAAGGGGTTATTGATCCTTTTCAATTTTTAAGCAACCAGGCAATGTTTATAAATAAATAAAAAGTAGATAAGAGCTGAAAAATATTTAATTCATCAATTTGGTTAAATATCAGTTTTTTGGGGTAGTAATGTACCGTGGGGGTGGTTTTAAGGGGTGAGACATGTTAAAAAATTTTTTTTCTCATACTGAATACTTTAGTAATTAAATCTAATATACATTATAAGTCTAAAGTAACGACAAAAAACTCGGCCATTAAAGGGTTAAAATATATAACATGTAGCCGTGTATGATAACAGTCTGGTCGGTAATGCAGATTTCTACTTTATCAGCAGTGGGTAATGTAGGAATCTGACATAAATTTTAACTCGAGTGATTAGGTAGGAAACTGTTTAAGGGGAGGTTCCACTGGTTTTGATGTTTTTTTCAAAGATTTTTTTTACAGTAAAGAAAATATTTGTTACTTAAAATTTTTTTATTTAAAAATACATGTCTTAAGATAATTGAAAATTATTTTTTTTTCAAAATGGCGTCTTAGAAAATGGCTGCCAAAAGTGGTCCTCTCTAAAAGTGGTTCACCCTTTTTCTCTGGAACGGTTAATCTAAAATGAAAAAAGTAAATAGTTTCTTAATCTGTACCATTTTGGCTATCCTGTTGACTAGAATCAGAATTTTTTATTAAAAAATAACCGAATGACAGACTTTTGAATTTTTTACCATAATTTTGCAACTTAAATTGTTTATAACTTTTTTAAATATTAATGAATTTTCAAAATCCTAGTCCACACGAAAACTACACATTTAAGGAACATGCTGTCCAAAAATCAAGTTAATTGGTTAAATATTGTTAAAATGGGAGTGTGAACCAGTTGAAAATATGTGGTTTCGAGAAAAACGCGTTTAAAGTTTTTATATAAAAATTTTGGATAATATTTTTCAAGTTGACAAAAACTCAATGAATTCACTTGAATTTTGTTACTCGGGGGTTTTCGGGGTCGCTGATCACGAATTTGATGTTACTTTTTAAAAATTCAATATGGCGGACGAGTTTTACAAAAATTTTTCATTTTTGAAAACTGGCTTCCAATTCGTAATCAGCGACCCCAGAAACCCCTAGATACCATGATTCAGATAAATTCGACAATTTTTCAAAACATTCGTCCGCCATATTGAATCCGCCATTTTGTAATTTCATAGACGCGGTAGCTTATTTTAAAAAGAAACTCTACATGATAGTTTTGCAAAAAGATGCATTAAAATCGGTTAACATTTGCCGCTTCGATAGAATTTCAAAACAAAAATTGCACTTTTATTCCACTGTAGGGTAAGGGGTACAGTGACCGACACCCTGGGCATACTTTCAACTTTAAATGACATTTTATCGTAATTTATTAAAGATTTAGTTATAAAATAAATTTTAAATAAAAGATTTGGGTTAAAATTTATAGTACACAAGTTTAAAATTAAAAAACACCTTGATAAGAGTTTATAATATTAATTTAAAAATGTATGGTATGAAAACAGTGAACGACACCCTTTAATAAAATAAAAAATATTTAAACTTTCTATTTAAGTAACATGATATTTATTAGTATTATCATAAATTTTATTATTCAGACTTAATGTACAAAAAAAGTTGCTTTTAAAATATAATTATTTAACAATTTTTTCATATTTATAAAATTTGTAATCAATAAAGCAAATTTTTTGAGGTTAGTTTTCTAGAAAGTATTAAATATTGAGGAAAATATAAACATATAAAATTTTGTATAAACTGTATAAGTTTTTAAATATTGTATATTAATTAATTTACTAGTGAGATTTAATTAAATATTATTATTTTTATAGTTATTATCGTTTTTAATAGCAGGTGTCGTTCACTGTCTGGGTGTCGGTCACTGTACCTTTTACCCTACCTCGCTTCGCATGAAGGGGTTAGCGTTTTCGCTGTCATAAGTACTCTTAAGGGCGAGTTTTGTGCATTAGACTATTTTTACCGTATTCTTAGGTATGTATACTAACCAAAAATGAAAAAAAAAATTTTTCGATTTTTTGAGAAAAAAACCAGTGGAACCTCCCCTTAACTGACCAAACATTAAAGATAGTTCACTAACCACTCAAGAAATGGCGCTCACGTCATTATAATATAAGTTACAAGTTTTTTATTTAAAGCTGTTGTTGTATTTTTAAATTAATTTTTTTATAAAAAATGTTTAAAGTCAGTTGTTTTTATTTATTTCTTCAAAATATATATATTCTTAAAAATTAACTTAAACTAATCATAAAATTTTTTTAAAATTAATTGTAACATAACCTCAAATCTAAAATTACAATTAGTCTTAACATTATAGTTAATCTTGAATTACAAACTAAAGCAAATCTTAAATCTAGACCTAACCTAAAATAATAACAGAGATATTAGATTATTTTCTTTATTATAGAAATATTTTTTTTACATAAATTTATACAAAATTAAACTTGTTTTAATTTAAATTCAATATGATTATATGGACCACCAATATACCTGAGGCGTAATTGTCCAGCATCAATAGCTTCTTGCATTTGATCGAAGCATATGGAGTTGTCAGTGAACATAAGTACAAATCGTGAAGGTAAGAAAGTATTAAATTTTCCATCCACTTCAACGACTACCTTTTTCCATATTTTGTGTTGGCAAACTAGATTTTGGTAATAGGATACTTATGTCCAGGAGTCAACTCTGAAAGCGGTTTCGTGGACAGGAAACCCTCCATACGACCAACAGCCGAGGGGCTATTCACTGAGATCCAAAAGATCCAGGGACGACGTACTCCTTTTTTTGTCAATTGTCATCATTGGTCGT